CGAGCGGAGCGCGAGTGAACGTCCGAAGGGCACCGTTGGGCTTACAGTGCTCACTCTTCTGGGGGCCCCCTTAGCAATCTAGCGCTTCAGGAAAAGTGTGTTTGGGGGGAGAGACAGGTAGAGACGGGGCGCCCGCCCAGCAGTTTGGCAAACAAGCCAGAGGTGCAGGGCAGTTGTGTGAACCGGGTTAGGGGGATGCTAAACTCCACCTCTGAAGATTAGGGGGCTAGAAACTGTGACGGCTGTGCCAGTTTGGCCCCTTCCCCAGTCCTCTCCTCTTCTCCACTTCTACCCGTCCCAGAGGAGTGAGGTGAAGGAGGCTTGGCTGCCAGACTGGAAATAAAACTTCTTTGTGGGGGCCCAGGGCGCGCGGGGTTGGGGGGGGGGTACCCTGGTGTGTGGGGGGAGGGAGGGAAGAAAACTGGATGCCGTAGGAGCACTCCAGGTGGTCCAAAGAGATCACTCTCTCAAGGTCCCTCTCCCCCAGGATCCCCTCCCTCCTGCGCCTAGGGCTGTTCCAGCTGAGCACCAGTTAGAACCCGGGATACTGCTCAGCCCCCTGGGGGCTCAGGTGGCGGGCTGGTGGGACTGGAGCGGCAGGAGGCAGGTGCAAGGCTAGAGTTCAGGCATCGGGAGAGTGAGAAAAGCTCTGGCTTCTTCCTTTTGGTGACGCCAACCCCCCCCATTTGTCCCCACTTTCGGGACGTCGAAGGCTCTCCAACCTCTCCCAGCCCTCAAGCTCTCCAAGCAATGACCTCATTGCAAAAGACAGTCTGAGCGGGTGGCTCCTCTCCCTAGTGGACCGGTGCGGGGAGCGGGAGCAATGACGCAATCGGAGCTGGGTCGGTCCTGGCCACTTTGGATTGGCCGCGCAGGCTCGTGGGGAACCCCTCCCACTATCACTGGAATAAGAGCCAAGAGCTCCGCTGGGAAGACACCCACAGCAGGCGTTGTATCCATCCAGGGGGACCCGCTGCTGGCATTCTCTCCTGCAACTCCAGTCGCCAGGTGAGGAACTTCCCACTCCACCCTAATACCCTGCTTCTGAATTAGTTCATCCAGTTTGCTAGAACTGCCTGCCTGCCTTTCCTTTGCCTCTCAGGACTATCTCTTCCCATCTACAGCCAGGTGCTCCTAGCTTCCTGTCCCCCTAGAGGGAGGGCCGGTGGTTGGGATGGGCAGTGCATTATCCTCAATAACCACCAGTGGAATCCCCAGCACCCCCAGGGCTTCCCTGGGCGCTGGAAGCTCCACCAGCCCAGAAGGGTGAGTCTGCGGGCCCTGCATTGCTGCCGGTCCTGCATGCAGGATCCTGCAGGAGTTTGGTCTGGGCGTGCCCTTCGGGATCTGTGTCCTCAGGGACCACATTTGGTTCCCGGGACTGGGGGCCCTGAGCCTTCCTCTGAGGCGCCTGCAGCCTGCCAGTGTTCCTGGGGCTTTGGTGGGGACCTGAGGCAGTGCAATTGGTGAACCAGACAGTGTGCTCAACTCGGGGTGCTGGCACCCAGGATTTGCTGCCAAACTGCCCTCCAGCACAGCCTGAGACACCAGTAACTGGCACGTTAGAAATATCCCCCCAAACCCAAACCCAAAGCCTCAGCGCTCTCTTCCAATTTACCCTTCCCATTTTCCTCTCCCCCAGTTAGCGGCAAGTTCAGCGAAGGGGAAGGGAGCTCCTAGATTTCTCAGCTCTGAGAAGACAGAAGATGCAGTCTACAGCAGGGTGGGTCCGCACCTGGTTTCTGCCAAGGGCAGAAGGTGTGGGTTTGTGTGCATGGCCACCTTTGTGGCTTCTCTCTGGCTTCCCACAGAACAGAGCCAGAATTCTCCCAGTCCTCTCCCAGGACACTTGTTTCTGCTCTACCAAGCATATTCACAGCAGTCCATCTAACAAATGAATAGAAGCAAGCAGATTCACAGCAGCCTGTCTGGCAAACGAACAGAACATGAGGACACAAGGCAGTTGTGGCAGAGGCAGGACTGGGACCTAGGTCTGCAGGCTCTAGGCCAGGCTTGGTCTTGGTGCAGCCGTAATGTTCTTCTCCTTTTACAGAAAGGCATCATGGGCTTCGGGAAGTCCTCTCCCTTCTTGGCTCTCAGCATCTTGGTCCTGTGCCAGGCAGGCGGCCTCCAGGCAACACCGCTCAGGTGAGAGGGCCTGAAGCTACTAGCCTCTGCCCCTGGATCAGGCAATTCCGTGTCTCTGAAGTCACAACAGTGAGGCTCCCAGTGAATCAACACCCTTAGGTGGACACTGGCCTCAAGCCCCGTGGGCTAGGAGTGGGGAGAGAAGGACACGTTTTCAGGGCATGCCACAGTGAGCAGGAAGCCTGGCTGCTTATCCTGGAGAGAGGCCAGACAGGGACTCAGAGCCTGTATTGGGTTTGCTTCCCTTCCCCAGGTGGGCCTTGGAGAGCCTCCCAGACTCTGACCTTGCTGCACTCAATGAGAAGGAAGGGCACCTCCTGGCTTCACTGGTGAAGGCCTATGCACAGAGGAACACTAACGAGCTGGACCAGCCTGAGGAGCAGGAGACGGAGGCAGAGGACTCTAGGTAAGGCTCCCCACTCACCTTGGCATATCCAGGAGGAAAAACATCTGGCCAGAAGTCCAGTAGGCTGTCTTTGTTCATCCGGCTCTGGAGCCCGGCCATTCTCATGCTCCACAGAAGACCAAGGTTCTGGGCAGCTGGAGGGATTGTGGTTAGACACATTGAAAAGATCCATTCCTGAAAGCTGTTAGGAAAGGAAATGAGGTGGTGTGGAATCACTTTCTCTGGGAATTGGTCTTGCTCTACTGAGGAGACTTCTCAGCATTGGATGAATTAAGACTGGTCAGTTTGAAGCCAGCAAATCTCAGGATGTTTTAGAAATGTAACCGGTTTGTTGTTATCTCACACCTGCAAGGAGCCTTCATTGCACATTTGCAAGGTGAAGCCAAAAGCCTTGCAGAGGGTGGGGTCACATAGAGCAGTGCCTGAGTTAGGTCTGGGGCCTTTACATGTGTAGGATCTGTGAAGATGTGTATGTTTGTCATGAGGCTGGGGAGAGCACCCTTCCCCAGCCCCACCTCCCTGTTGCACCCTGAGCTTGGAGCACTGCCTGGGCAGAGGTATGAGTTGCACTTGCACTTGCTCTGAGAAATGCTCTGCAGAGCATGAAGGCCTGAGCAGGAAAGATGACCCCTTCCCCACTGCAGCCCTTCCCCACACTGCGCTGACTCAGCAAATGTCTGACTTCCCTTAATGGAAGATGTGTGAGCTGTCCTCCTGCCTGCCCCTCCTGCTCCTGCTCAAAGTACCCCCTCCCTGCATGGCTGCCCCTCACTGGGGGCCAACCTGGTGCATGGTATTGTCTGGCTTGTCTTCCTTGCAGCCTGGACAGCTCCATCACTAAGCCATGCAGTAATCTGAGTATTTGTGTGCTGGGCGCATACTTGAAGTATCTGAAGAACTTTCATATGTTCTCTGGCATTGGCTTTGGGGCTGAAACACTTGGCAAGAAAAGGGATATAGCCAGTGGTTTGGAGAAAGACCGCTACCCCAGTTTTGGGGTGCCCAAGGATTCCAAGTGAAATCCCTTCTGATTTCCTTTCTTGCTCTCATTGATGAACTTAGTGCATGCAGATTTCACTCTGATTGCTTCTCAAGCTGGTATTGGTAGCTTTGCTCATGACAGAAAATGTTGGAGACCTCAGGATGGAATGAAAGAGAGTGGGACTCATAGACCAGGTGAGAGATAAGAGAGAGTAAGGGAAGCTTCTTGAGATCCTAGAGGATATCACAGCAGAGTCCTCTGGTTTCTGCTTTATCCCTCAGCATCAATTTTGATGAATAAACCCATTTTCTAAAAGGATGTACACTGTGATGGTCATTACTCTAGTCCATGTTCAAGACTTGAAGGTGCCCAGGGCCTATGGTTAAAAGTAACTTTAGCCTGAGGACAGCTGGATGCAGGGCTTGGTGAGTGGCCCCTGGGAACCAGCTCGAGCTTCAAGAAAAGGTGTGCTGCCCTAGCTGATTTGGCTCAGTGGTTAGAACGTCTGCCTGCAGACTAAAGGGTCCTGGGTTCGATTCCAGCCAAGGGCATGTACCTCGGTTGCAGGCTTGATCCTAGACCCCGGTCGGGGCTCGTGTTGGAGGCAACCAATTGATGTGTCTCTCTCACATCGATGTTTCTCTCTTTCTCTCCCCCTCCCTTCCTCTCTCTCTCTCAAAAAAAAAAAAAAAAATCAATGGGAAAAATATCCTTGGGTGAGGATTAACAAAACAACAACAACAAAAATCTTAGTTGCAATGTGGAATCTAAAAAAAAAAGAAAAAAAAGAATGGGTGTGCTGAAGCAGGTAAGCACTTCTTGTAAGCCCTATTCTCTGAGCCTCTTCCAGGTAAAACTTCAGGGAATTTTTATTTTCCCATGGAAAGTGGTTTCATTGGTGCTCATGTCTGGGGTATGGCTTCTGTATGCTTCTTGTATGTCCTGAGGTGGACTAGGCCTTTGCTGAAAACTTCTTCCCGGTCCCAAAGAGATTATATGTAAGGGACAATACCAAGTGCAGGGTTTCAGCGTGTGTCCCATGGTTAGGAACTGGGTTTTATCCTGAGGGGCTCCTAGCAAAGGCTGCCAGGCCATTTCCTCTAACAACTTTAGTATTTGCATATAGAAGAAACCATTATTCTCTGCCCCCCCCCCCTTTTTTTTATTTTTGTAAGATATACATAAAAAATTTGCCATTTTAGTTTTTTTGTTGTTGTTGTCTTTTAAAAAAATCTTTATTATTGAGAGTATTACAGATGTCCTCCTCCATGAGGTTCCTGTCCCGACCCAAGCCTTCACCACCCTATTGTCTGCATCCATAGTTACTGCATATATGCATATGAGATCTTTGGTTAATCTCTTCCTGGCCCCTCTCCCCCTTCCCTATGATATTTGTCATGTTTCTGTGCTTCTGGTTCTATTTTATTTATCAGTGTATTTTGTTCATTAGATTTCTTGTTCATTTACTTTGGTTTTTTAGATTCAATTGTTGATAGATATGTATTTATTGACATTTTATTGTTCATATTTTTATTTCTCCTCCTCCTCCTCCTCCTTTCCTTCCTTCTCCTTCTTCTTTTCATTTTCATTCTCATTCTTATTCTTATTTCTCTTCTGAAAGAATACCCTTCAACGTTTTATGTAATATTGGTTTGGTACGCTCCTTTAGCTTTTTCTTGTCTGTGAAGCTCTTTATCTGACCTTCGATTCTAAATGATAGCTTCGCTGGGTAGAGTAATCTTGGTTGTAGGCCCTTGCTACTCATCACTTTGAATAGTTTTTGCCACTCCCTTCTGGCTTACAAAGTTTCTGTTGAGAAATCAGCTGACAGTTATATGGGTGTTCCCTTGTAGGCAACTAACTGCTTTTCTCTTGCTGATTTTAAGATTCTCTCTTTGTCTTTAATCTTTGGTATTTTAATTATGATGTGTCTTGGTGTGGCATCTTTGGGTTCCTCTTGTTTGGGGCTCTCTATGCTTCCTGGTTAAAGGGGAAGTTTTCTGTCATATTTCTTCAAATAGGTTTTCAATAACTTGCTCTCTCCCTTCTCCTTCTGGCACTGCCATAATGCAAATGTTAGTATGCTTGAAGTTGTCCCAGAGGCTCCTTACGCTATCTTCATATTTTTGGATTGTTTTTTCTTTTCTGATTGGGTGTTTTTTGCTTCCTCATATCTCAAATCATTGATTTGATTCTTGGGATCCTCTAATTTACTGTTGAATCCCTATATATTCTTCTTTATTTCAGTCAGTGTATACTTAATTTTTGACTGATCCTTTTTCCTGTCTTTGAAATTATTACTAAGATCCTTGAAAGTCTCATTAAGTCCCTTGAAGCTCTCTTCAAGATCTTTGAGTAACCTTATAACCATTGTTTCGAACTCTGTATCCAGTAGTTTGCTTGCTTCCATTTCTTTCATTTGTGACATGTTTCTTTGTGTCCAAATTTTGGCTCCTTCTCTGTGTTTGCTTCTATGTGTAAGGTAGAGCTGCTATGTCTCCTGGGATTGGTAGAGTTGCCTTGTGTAGTAGGTGTCCTGTAGGGCCCAGTGGCTCAGACTCCCCAGACACCTGAGCTGGACCTTCTAGATCAGTGGTTCTCAACCTGTAGGTCGCGGCTCCTCTGGTGGTCAAACTACCCTTTCACAGGGGTCGCCTAAGACCATCCTGCATATCAGATATTTACATTACGATTCATAACAGTAGCAACATTACAGTTATGAAGTAGCAATGAAAATAATTTTATGGTTGGGTCACAACATGAGGAACTGTATTTAAAGGGCCAGAAGGTTGAGAACCACTGTCTAGATCAGTGATGGCGAACCTTTTGAGCTTGGCGTGTCAGCATTTTGAAAAACCCTAACTTAACTCTGGTGCCTTGTCACATATAGAAATTTTTTGATATTTGCAACCATAGTAAAACAAAGACTTATATTTTTGATATTTATTTTATATATTTAAATGCCATTTAACAAAGTAAAGTCAACCAAAAAAATGAGTTCGCGTGTCACCTCTAACACGCGTGTCATAGGTTCGCCATCATTGGTCTAGATACACCTCTGTGTGGGCTGCGTGCACAGTCTTGTTGAGTTGAGCCTTGATTGCTGTTAGATTACTGGGAGGAGTTGGCCTTCAGGCCAATTGGCTGTGAGGACCAGCTGCAACTACAGGGGAAGAGATGCTGTGCAGGAGACACCCCTATGGAGTAGGACTTGCTTCAGTGGGGCTTTGGTGCTCACTGAGTCTGCCCCTTGAGTGTGTCCCCTATGGATATGTAGAGTTGTAATCTGGTATGGCTGAAGTTGTCCACTGGGTGCATGGCTCTGGGGCCTCCAGGGAGGTGCAAAGTCAGCTACTGCCTGGGGCCACTGGCAGGAACTACAGAGAAATCTGCAGGTGGCTGCTATTTGTATTGGGCTTGGAACTGCCTAGGCAAGGCCCAGCTGTAAAGCAAGGCAGGCTGGTGCTAGTGCTGGGTCTTAGGCCTTTTATTGATAGGTTTGGGGCATGCTGATGGCAGCTGAGGCTAGTTTGAGAGATTTTAGGAAAGTCTGAAGCCTGAGCCAAAACAGGCCATTTGTATGGAAAAATAGGTGCAAAAGCTTGTGTGGGGCTGCAAATTGGATGGGGCAGAGTCTCAGGGAATCACCAGGGCAGAGTGAACAGTGTGAGCTATGGTCATAGAAATTAAGTTATGGCTGCCAGTCAGCCCTGCAACATGGGAGGTCTCAGCATAGGAACAATGATCCCTGAAAGCACCCCTTCTGGGAGGAAACCGCCCCTGAGTTCTTGCTCCAATGCCAGACAATCAAATTCCTTCCTGTATGTTCCTGGATCCCCCAAAGCTGCCACCCCATATTGGAGCCCAGAGGGAGTGTGGACAAGTAAATTCATGTGCCAGACCTTTAAGAGGTACTGCCTGAGTCTCTAGCAGCCTCGGTGTCACTAGCTACAATCCCCACTGGTTTTTACAGCCCCAGATTATGGGGACTTCTCTTCTTACCTCTGGAAACCTTGGTTGGGGTTCTGGTGTTGGACTGGAACTCCTTGCTTTTCATGGGAGGCCTCCACAGTGAAGATATCCCTCCTGATTAAAAAAAACAAAACCCACCACATGTGGGTGTTGGGCCAATTCGTTCCGTGCCTCTGCCTCTCCTATCAGTCTTGATGTACTTTATCAGGGGTGGGCAAACTTTTTGACTCGAGGGCCACAATGGGTTCTTAAACTGGACCGGAGGGCCGGAACAAAAGCATGGATGGAGTGTTTGTGTGAACTAATATAAATTCAAAGTAAACATCATTAAAAAAAAGGGTTCTTTTTTTTTTTTTAGTTTTATTCATTTCAAACGGGCCGGATCCGGCCCGCGGGCCGTAGTTTGCCCACGGCTGACTTTATTCTTTACTTCTCTTGTTGTAGGACTTCCGTTCAGCCAGTTCTGAATGATGGTTTTTCTTTATTTTAGTTGTAATTTTGATGTGGTTGTGGGAGGTGGCAAGTGCCAGAGTTTACCTATGCTGCCATCTTGGTTCTTCCAGAAACACTTATTCTTTTTTTTTTTTTTTTAACATATATTTTACTGATTGCAGAGAGGAAGGGAGAGGGAGAGATACAAACATCAATGATGAGAGAGATGCCTCCTGCATGCCCCCTACTGGGGATTGAGCTGCAACCCGGGCATGTGCCCTTGAGGTGAATCAAACCTGGGCCCCTTCAGTATGTAGGCCAATGCTCTATTCACTGTGCCAAACCAGCTAGGGCCAGAAACACTTATTCTTAAGTGTTATGTTGAAGAGCTACAATTCTCTTTGAAAAGGTCCCATGGGGTAGGCTCCAGACTCCAGACTCTCACTAGCAGGCTTTCTCTTCTTTCTCCATCCTGCAAATCAGTGTCACTCACCAGAAGAGATCCTGCAATCTTCCCACCTGTGTCATCCATCGGCTGGAAGACTATCTTTACAAACATATGGGAATACTAAAGGAAGGCTTTGTGCCCACTAATGTGGGCCCCAAGTCCTATGGCCGTCGCCGTAGGGAACTTCATGCCTGAGCTGCTAGAGGACTCCAGCAAGAAGGTGACTGACTGCCTTTGTTCTGTTGGATGGGAGGGGAAGGTATTTGGAGTTTTTAACATCCACATTTTGAAACCCACTGGACCTGGTAGGTTCCTCAGATCCTTCTCTCCAATTGCATTCTTCCTCCTGAGGTAGTGGGTTCCTTCTACAACTCAGCTTGAAGTCAGAGCACTAGGGCAGGCTGCAGAGGTGCAATTTTGTCTTTCTGAGAAGAGAAATGAATAAAAAAAAAATGCTTGCTGAATTCAGCAAACCTTAGCCAGGCCACTCCTCATTAATGAACCTAGGTTCCGAAAGCCTTCAACCCTTCAGTGTTCACAGGTTTAGTCCAGAGGGCTATAATCATAACACTACTGCTAATGTTCATAGTGATGGTTGAATTGCTTTTTACTATCATTTGCTTTAAAAGCCTGTTTATATCTCATATCCATAATTTATAAATGCTGTTTAGTTAAAGAAGCACTTCTATAAATTAATGTTCTTTTCAGTAATAATTGTGTTTATTCCCTTCTTGTTCTTCTTATTCTTCTTATTCTTCTGGTTCTCATTCTTCTCCTCTTTCTCCTCCTTTTTCCTTTTCTTTTAACTTTTTTTTTTTTTTATCTCAGGTTACAATGAAGCTGAACTCACCACTTCTATTAATTTCTGTTGACAACAACTTGGTGAGAAGACCCCAGGGAAGATATACATGTTTGCATCCAAATAGATTTAAAAAAAAAAGCCCCTTTTTCACTCAAAAGGAATGAAATTAAATGCAAAATAAACAAATTCCATATTTGTTGTGCATCCTTTTTATATTTGATTCTACGTGCAATAAACATGATTACATCTCTCATCAGCTTATCTGGTAGCAAACTGGTTCTTTGAGAGCTATCCTGTTGTTCATGCAGCTTTGCCAAACCATAGGGGGACGTGAAATCACTGCCTCTTGTGGTCTCTGGGGTGATGCTATGCTTTGTTTTAATGGTGATGCTATGCCTTATTGTCTAAGAGCCTGATTATATAATTTATTTAAGGAAATGTCAATATTGTGCCATTTGTGAACTTTATCAAGATTAAAAACATATTTTGGATACATGTGTTTCAAAACCCTGGTGGTTTATTTCAACTTGTTTTTCAATGTAACAATAATAATAGTTGACATTTTTTGAGATCTTACTCTAGACCAGTGATGGCGAACCTTTTGAGCTCGGCATGTCATTATTTGAAAAACCCTAACTTAACTCTGGTGCCTTGTCACATATAGAAATTTTTTGATATTTGCAACCATAGTAAAACAAAGACTTATATTTTTGATATTTATTTTATATATTTAAATGCCATTTAACAAAGAAAAACCAACCAAAAAAATGAGTTCGCGTGTCACCTCTGACACGCGTGTCATAGGTTCGCCATCACTGCTCTAGACCATACAATGTTCTGAGATAGTGCTTTATACCTATGAATTCATTTACTCTTCATGACAACTTTATGGGCTAGATACCATTTTTATTTCCACTTCTCATCTGAGGAAACAGGCACTGAGAAGTGACGTCCAAGGTCACACAGACTCAGATGTTGGTTTCAGGAGCTTACCATGGAAACCACTGTGCTGTATGCTTCCCAACGATGGCTCCTGATGTTTTCCAGATCTGTGAGCCATTCATTGACCTAGCTGCCTGTGAATATTTCTCTCTTCTCTGCGTCCAGCGCGGCCAGAGAGTGGTCCGGTTCCTGAGTAGGGGCAGCTGGGGATTGAGAAAATGAAAGAAAGAGACAGACACAGAGATGGAAGAAAAAAGCTGGGGCCAGGTGGGACCACTGTCCTCTGATGGAGAGACAGGGACAGGGACCCAGAGCCAATACAGCGTATTTATTTTATACCGCAAAAAACAGGAAGTTTTACTAAAGGTCAAGACAAAGGAGATTATGTGCATTCTTGGGTGGGCCTGAGTCATATTCATTCCTGGTGCTTGGCTGGATTTAAATAACAAAACCCACCCCCTGGCACCTGGACTGAAGGTCAAGCTGACAACACTCCTGCCTTTTGGCAAAGCGTTTTTCTAGGATGTGGCTTCGCCCACGCCACTGGATTCAGCTGACAATAATTAAAGAAATGCCCATGTGCCTTGCCAGGTGCTCTCTACAGCCGCCTCACGTGATAGACCATCAGATTTTGAAGACAAATGGAAAAATTTACACACATAAACAACCTAATCTCTCACACACAAATAACCTAAACAACCTTATCTAATAAAGTGGACCACTTCTACCCATTACTTTGTGCTACAGGGTGAATGGTTGTATACTTCCCCCCAACCCTTCACCAAAATGTATATTTTGAAACCTAACACCAAAATGATGTTATTAGGAGGTGGGGCCTTTGGGATGCGAGTAGGTTATAAGGGCAGTACCCTCACCAATGCAATTAATGCTCTTAAAAATGGGGCCAGAGAGAATTCCCTCGCTCCTTCCACTGCAGTGTGAGGTTACAGTGAGAAGACTGCTGTGAATAAGGAACTGGGCCCCCCACCAGACGCTGAACCTGCTGGTGCCTTGATATTGGACTTCCCAGACTCCAGAACTGTGAGAAATATACTATAAGCTATCCAGTCTGTGGTATTTTGTTATAGAAGCCCAAATAGACTAAGACACTTATTTGACTTCGATGATCTATTTATGGTCAATGTTATTACATATATACACCATCTATCCCCCCCACTCATGTATTATTACATCAATATGCCCATAACTAATTCCTCATATATCTCTAAATGGGAAGTACTCTTTAAACATAACCACAATCCCATTTAACAAAAAAAATTAACAGTAATTTCTTCGTTGTTTAATATCTCACGTCTAGTTATGGCTCAAATTCTTCCATTATCACATATATGTATGTGCATTGTATATATATTATATAGAATATGTTTATATGTACATATATATATAAAACCTAAGCTCAAAGTCTTCACATTGCTGCTAGTTGATATGCTTTAAGGTTCTTCTAATTTAGCTCCCTCTCCACCTCCATCTCCCCCTCCCTCCACCCACAACTGCAATTTATTTGTTGGAGAAACTAAGTTATTTGTTCAATAGAGTTTCTCCCATTCTGAATTTTGATGATTCCATCCCTGTGGTGAGGTTTATAACATGTTCCTTTATCTTCCATTTTTCTGTGAGTCAGATCTCTAGTGAATGAGAGGAAAGAGAAGTGGGAGATGAACTCAGAGAAGTAATGGAGGACTGTGAGGGGTATAGGAAAGAGTGGCTTTCTATCTTATTGATATTCTATATGTGGTGAGACAGCATTCTCATACTTTCCTTTATTTTGTGAGATATTAATTCCCTTAGTTATTTGAATAAATATAAAATAGCTGATTTAGAACTTTTTGTCTACAAAGTTCAATGTCTGTGCTCCCTAAGGAACAGTTTTTATTAACTGCTCTTCTTGTGCATACAGACTTTTCCCTGCATGTCTCATAATATTATTTTTGAAAACTGGACACTTAAAATAATCTAATGTGGCAACTATGGAAATCATATTTCCTCCCTACCACCAACCCTAGGATTTATAATTGTTTTTTTGTTGTCGTTGTTGTTGATTGTTTGCTCAGTGACTTCTCTGAAGTAAATTTTTAAAAAAAATATATTTTATTGATTTTTTTACAGAGAGGAAGGGAGAGGGATAGAGAGAGTCAGAAACATCGATGAGAGAGAAACATCGATCAGCTGCCTCCTGCACACTCCCCACTGGGTATGTGCCCGCAACCGAGGTACATGCCCTTGACTGGAATCGAATCTGGGACCCTTGAGTCTGCAGGCCGACGCTCTATCCACTGAGCCAAACCGGTTAGGGCTGAAGTAAATTTTTTAAAGTCTTTATTCTTTGTCATGTGGCCACTGTTTGGTTAGCTTAATGGTTAGGTAATGATTGATCAAATATTTCCTTATTGTCTCGAATCAATGTCTTTTAATCTTTACCAAGGGGCTCTGTGTGCATGTTGGGACATACCTTCAACACTCAGACAAGTAGTTGACAACTTTGCCATAGTTTTGACTTCCTGCTTGCCGACAGCCTCAAGATCAGTGAGAGGTGAGAGCTCTGGGCTTTCTCAGGTTCTTCCTGAGCATGCATGCAGCTTCATGATTCCCAGATTCCCAGAAATATGTTAGAGCTTTCCAAAGTTCTTATAGATATCACATTCCCCACATTTCCTTTTAAATGTTTTTGGTTAGTCTATTATTTACTCCAAGTATTATCCACTAGTTCAGGCATCTGTGAATTTAAGTAAGTGCTTGTTTTCAACAAAGGCTCCTGAAGAAAAGGCTTTATGCACTGGGCAAGCTCCATGTCAGATCAAAGAAAGACAACATTGCAGATGAGGTCTTCAAAGGAATGACCAGAGAGATCAAACAATGATAAAACTCTTGGAATAAGGCTTTGAAAGAGGTCCACCCTCATTTGCTAGATTGATGGTTTTTACCATGAAGCTGGGCTATTAGTATTCAAAGCTACCACAGAGTTGGAAAGCAGGACACAATAATAAAACAAGTGAAAATACGACAGGCCCTGGTTAGAATTGGTTAACTAGCTCAGTTGGTTAGATTGCAGGTTTGATCCTAGGGCAGACACATATAAGAATCAATCAATGAATACATAAATAAGTGGAAGAGCAAGTTGATGTTTCTCTCCCTCTTTCTCTAAAATGTATATATTTAAAAGCATAATATGCAAATCGATGGAACAGCAGAACAACCAGAACAACCGCTCGACCAGTCGCTATGAGGCACACTGACAATCTCTTGGTCATTCCTCCTGGCCAGCAGGCTCCAATCCCTTGATGGTGAATGGGGAACCGGGGGTAGGTGGCAGTGGCTGCCGGCAGTGGGGGAAGATGGCCCTGATCACAGGCCAGGCCTAGGGACTGTACCCGCACATGAATTTCGTGCACCGGGCCTCTAGTTAATAAGTAAAAGGCCACAAAGCTCACTGTTATTTCTGGCATTCAGCTGTTTCTGTTGAATAGTTGCTTCTTGAATTGCTGCAAACCTTTGACTAGTTGCTAGAGTTTTGAAAAAGTAAATTTGACAATTTTTGTTCCTCCTTTCATTGTTTTTATGGAGAAGGAAATTTTTGGAGACTCTCACTTCACTATTTTCACAGACAAAACTATTTTTGCCTTCATCCATGAAGGATATTTTCACTAGATATAAGATTATGGATTGGCAGTTTTTTTCTTTTAGCATTTTAAAGATGTTGTTTTATTCTCTTCTGGTCTCTATGGTTTCTTAGTAGAAATTTGCATTCATTTGAACATTTTTTCCTCTATATGTAATGCATTTTTTTTCTCTAGATGCTTTCAAATTTGTTTTCTTTAAGTTTTATTTTATACTGTTCGATTAACATTTGTTTAGGTATAATTTTCTTTTTTTCTGGTCCAGATTCTCTGAGGTTGAATCTGTAAATCTATGTTTTCCATGAACTTTGAGAAGTATTTAGCCATTAATTTTTATGTGCCAATATTTTCCTTTCTTTTTGGGCCTCCAGGGACAAATGTTAGGCCTTTTAATATTGTCCCACAATTTTATTCTGTTCAATTTTAAAGTTTTGTTTCTCTGTGTTTTTCAGATTATATAATTTTTTAAATTTATCTTTAAGTTTAATGATTCTTTTTTGTTATCAACATTCTTTTATTGATCTCACTCAGTGAAATTTTTTGCTTTGGATATTATATTTAAAAACTTCTGTTTTGTTCTTTTTTTCTAGTTTTTATTTCTTTGTTAACAGATGCTATCTCTCCATTGACTTACAGACTATTCAATATTACCTCATTGAATATGCTGTTCATGGGTTTGGGTTTATGGAATTTAAGTTACCTTTGGACAAAGCATTAAAAGACAAGAGAGTGAGAAAAAAAAATTCCTCAAAAACTTTGACGCCCAAAGAGCCCCCTTTGCAGTACCTTTTGTCAGAGACACAGGTTTTAGTTGCCCACACCACTACTATCACTGCAACAGTGCAACCCTGACCCTTACCTGGCATTGGAACAGAGCCAGGAGGAAAGGAAAGAATAAACAATGGCG